TTTTTTTTTTTTTTTTTTTTTTTTTTTTTTTTTTTTTTTTTTTTTTTTTTTTTTTAATAGAGGCAGGATGAAATTATACTGCTATGGCCTGGCTTATCTTTGAAGCCTTCACTTACTCTACTTATTTCCCTCTTTCTCCTGTGTTGCATGATGATCAAATGATACCATTTGCGCTTCAGGAGAAAAAGGCAGCCCAAGGCAGACGCACAACTTTGCATAGAACCTTAAAGACAAGTATGGGAGTATGGCAAGGAAGGGGGATTAACGACAGGCCATAGCTCAAGATGTTTTGCCTTTGCTTTTGCCACCAAGCTCTAGTAGTGATGTCAGATATGGAAATATTTTCACTGGTATTGATGAGGCTTGGCATCATGAGACCAAGCAGGCAGCAGCTGGGCAAATTCCATGCAGGTTTTAGAAGATGGTGCACTTTGAATCCTTTGGATTGATAAAAGGCATTGTAGGAGAGAAATTGAGTATGGTACTTTTGAATGTCAGGCCTTAAATACACCACCTAAAGAGCTTCTAATATTCTAAACATAGTGCATTTTGCCAATGGATTTGTAGATCTTTAAGTGTTGGTTGCTTAAGTATGTCAGTGAGCAAATCCCACCACTTGGTTAACATAAAAAAAGGAATATTTTGTTCCTTGAGTCTCAAGCCTCATTGTTACTGAGTGTACTTTCCTGCTCTGTTTAGCTCGGGCTAAAAGGACTCAGTGCTGCCACATTTAACATTGACCAAAGAGCCCTTGGTGGGGCTGGAGCTTGTCAAAGCTGTCTGCAGTGTTACTCTGTAGCCTCAGACCCTGTTTCCTTCTGGAATGAATAGTTCCCGGAGGACAGCTCGGTGCTTTAGTTACAAAGCTGTTATTGATGACCTGTTGCTGATTAATACTGCCATACACAGACTGCCCAGTGCTAGAGGTTGCTGTTACTTCAAATCCAGCAGGAGGGTGACTGATTGCACCTTTCTCCTACTGAAAACCAAGATCCTGTTTCCTTTAGCTCAAGGAGATCCAAACTCCTGATTCAGTGCAGCAAACTGAGACAATTAAAGATTTGCAGAGTTCTTCAAATCAAATGTACAATGGCCAGTTAGTGCAGTCAGATGATTACGAGACATTTTATATACTGGTAACCCTCAGTGCACAGTGATATTAATGGCTGCATGTTCTCTGTGGTTCTGTTCTCTCTAGGTCAGAAGATGATGTTAGCTGCCCGATTTGCATGGATTTTTACTCAGAAGTAAGGATCCAGATGTTGTCAACCTTTCTGCTTCGTGGGAGAGGGGAGGGGACAGAGGGGGAGTTGTGCAACTCAGTTGTCTTACGTGGGATGCTACGGGCAGCTGGCCTGAAGCACAGGCCTTGCTGTGAAGCTCCAGAAGTCACTTCTTGGTGCTGAACATAGAGAGAGAAACCTCTGCCAAGATGGCACTGGCAGCTCTCTGGGTCCCTCATCATTCTAGCGGTAATGAACTGATTCCAGAAATTTCAAGTCTCATTTCTCTACTGCCAGCAGAGCAGCAAGTTTGGAATTCTTTCCTCCCAATACATGTTGTGGTTTTCTTTCCTTCAGATTCTGCAAAGTGAACGACTGTTTTTGTCAACCCCCTGCGGCCATGTTTTTTGCAGTCAGTGCCTCCCTGTTGCCATTGAGATTGCCAGAACGTGTCCAATCTGCAGGACAGAAGTCACTCATGGACAATATCAGCCCATTATTTTATGAGCACTTCTATTTCTCAGGAGGGACTCAGACGGATCTTGGGGGACAGGCCATGTAAAGACTTTTTCCTTCATGTGTATAGTTATTCTTGTATATAGTTCCATTTTTTCCTGAATTTAGTTATAAATAAAGTATTGATTAACTTAAATATAGTCAAGTCTTCTTGTCTGCTCGTCTATGCTGGACTTTGCTGGTGGACAGAGACATCTTTTGGCAGGTAGAAATAACACTCCTGGTTTGACCAGTCAAAAGCACTCGTTCTCTTCATCACAGTTTAGTCATTGATTTTGGGGGAAAGGTGCTAAAGGCATAAGCTCTGTAGTTCTTGTGGCCAGTGTATGTTGTATGGGGGAAAAGAAACGGGCACTGCTTGGGGTGAGGGGCCTTCTATTTCTCAGGGTGCACTCAGGTGCTGAAAATGTCATAACTTCTGTGCTCTGAAGATTGGAAGAGCAGCAAGTTGTGCACACATCCAAAGAAAACTATTTTCTTTGAGAATAGCTGGTAGGTATCTAGAGAGCTTGTTTATGGTCCCAGCTGCTCCTTGCTCAGTTTATATATGGTTACAATGGTTATAATGTTCCAGTGATGACTGCTAGCTGATGACAGGAGCACTGCCAGCTTATGTGAAGCTCTTCCCCTTCTGAAAAGCCTGTAAGCTTAAGGGCAATCTCAATAATGTAGCACTGTGAACTGCTGTGTCCAGCATTTATCCTGCAGAACAGAAGAGAGCAGCGAGCAAAAGCAGTGAGGCAAAGACATAAAGCAACGCCCAGGGAGTGCACCACCACCATGGCCATTAAATCCATCAGTATCATCATCATCATCATCACCATCATCACCTTTTACCTTTCCTACTGCAAAAGCAAATTGTCTCCAGAGTGAACGAGGAGCCAGAAGTGGTGCCTAGATCCAGAGTGCTGAGGTGGACCCAGAGTGCTGGGTAGCAGCAAATGTCCCCATCAGTCACAGGGAAATGCATGGGACTTGGCCAGTGAGTGCTGTCAGCATGTACCCGTTCTTATTTTTGGGACAAAGCATCGTGCTGAAAGGTGGTCTTTTCTCTAACTGCAGGGCTAAGCAGGACCTACATTTCCAAATCAGCCAAAGCAAAGCAGCCCCAGCAGCAAGAAACGTGACTGGGTTTTTGTTCTGCAGAACAAGACACCTACTACTGCCTACCATCGGGGGGTTCAAAAATGTATTTACTTATTCTAAATCGTCTTAATATGTATTTATCTAACAGGCCATCTACCTGCACTTTCCTGTGAAAATTTTGGGAAAAATATCTGGCTGGCATGGGGCACCTGTGGCCGCATCCTGCACTTGCCGTAATCTGAGGGCTGAGGGTCAGAGATGGTATTCTCTCTCCCGTGGGTTTTTCTTGGGATGATGTGAGCAACAGAATTCAGCTCTGGCTCTGAACTCCCCCCAGCTACCCGGGCTTCATTTGGCAAACTCTTCCTCACCCTTCCTCCCTCACTTCACCAGCTAAATTCAGACAAGAAACTTGTATGCATAAAAGCTGTCAAAGGAATAACTTACAAGTACAGGAGCTAGAAAAGTCTTGAAGTGTAAAGCTGGCAGCCCCCGAAGAACTGCAGGGACTATCCAATCCATCTGGTGCTCCTGGGTGCAAAGCAAACAGGCTTTTGACTAGTTCATAACTATGGCATATGCAAAAGGCTCAATTATTGCTTCTTAAAAAGCCCAAATTATCTCCTGGAGTCGGAGACTGACAGGCACACAGTCTCTGCAGCGTTATGCACGGCTGAATTTTTGCCCACTTATTCTCTGCTGTTCTCTACTGCCTGTAATTGCATTGCATTTTAACTGTTTAGCATTGTCAGAACTCCAGCCCTGGGGGCAGCGGAGGTGGTGAGAGCTCAACACACCAAATTACTACCCAAAGAGCAAGCAGACAGAAAGCAGAGTGGAGAGGGAGGGAGGCAGACAAATGAGCCATGTTCATTAGAAAAACAGCAGCCCTGACCGAGGAAACGTCCTACTGATGTAATGAGAAAGGTGAAAGTTGTTAATAATAAAAAAAGAACACAACAACGCAGTTGCCTTTCTATCAGAAAGCAAAAAATCTAGGGAAAATAAATGCACTGTGGAAAGCAGAGATGAAAACCAGCAAAATAATCTTTGCCCATATAGCCCTTTCTTCCCTACCAGTTTTATGTAGTTGGTTTTTGGTGTGCGTGTGATTTTTTGTTTGTTTGTTTGTTTGCTTGCTTGCTTGCTTGTTTTGTTTTATCTTGTGGGGGTTTTTTGTTTTTGGTTTTTTTTTTTGTTTGTTTGTTTGTTTTGTTTTGTTTTGTTTTTGGTGGGAGCGAGTTCTGTAGTTGCACTGCTTAGTGCTGTTCCCTTGTGTGCTGTGATGTGGCTCTGTCATGGTTTAAGCCCAGATGAAAATTAAGCACCATGCTTAAGTCCACTTGCTCAGTCCATCCCCTCTCCCTCCCCTCTACCCCAAACCCCTGGTGGAATGGGGAGGAGAACTGAAGTAAAACTTGTATGTTGAAATAAGAATAGTTTAATAATTGAAAATAGAAAAATAAGGGTAAATAATAATAATGATAATAAAAAGAAACAAACAAGTGATGCACAATGCAATTGCTCATCACCTGCTGACCGATGCCAGACTCCCTTTTCTGAACACAGCTCAGTCCCCCTCCTGGGTAACTGCTCCTGGTTTATATACCAGGCATAATGTTCTACGGTGTGGAATATCCCTTTGATCAGTTCGTGTGGTATGTCCCAGCTATGCTCCCTGCCATTGGCAGAGCATGAGACAAGGGGAAGAAAACTGTTCTTGACTTAGGATAAGCACGACTTGTTCTCAACACCATTCTCATTCTGAATCCAGAACACAGCACTGTAACAGCTACTGAGAAGAAACTAACTCTATCCTAGCTAAAACCAGGACAGGTCCCAAAAGCTGGCATCTCTGCTACAGAAGCCCTGCCATGTAAGGCAGTGAGACACACTTTCCCACAGGCAAGTTTGTATTTCACCTTTGGTCAGCCAGAGGTCCTGATTGCTGATTCTTTATTTTCCCCAAAAGATGCTGCAGGTTCAAATCCCTAGGGCAGGTTTTGAAGGATAGGGCCATTTGCAGTCTGTCCCACAGCACAGGGAACAACAGCAGTGTTGGGGCAAAGGCAGAAGCTTCTGGGGAGTGGGATGGGTGTGACCCACCCCCCTAAGTTTGCACAAGTTGTGCAGGAAGTGCATTTGAGTTTTTTTTCCTCCTCTGGAATGTCTTCCTATGGGGACAAAAAGGGGAGGATAAAACATCTGGATCATGTGCTATTGATGAAAAAAATGAATTCTGCCACTTGTGAGAGTGCTGAAGTGCATCAGGGCTTGTTATGGGGTTGCCCTGCTTAGGCACCTGCTTATGACAGAGCTACTGAACTCTGACCTCAAGTAACTGACTAAACTCTCTGCAGCACAGCCTTAAGTTACAGGAGATTGTTCCAGGGAACAGGCCCAGTGCAAAGCAGCAGCCACAATGTGACAGCCACAGAATGAAAGGTTACTTGTAGATGCCTGAAGAACGGCCCCAGAGCTACCCACCATGGCACAGGGTCCCCATGACCCAGCCCTTGCAGGCCACCAGCAAAGATCCTACTTGTGGGTCTTTGTTCTGCCTACCTGTAAAGCCAGGGGAGAACAAGATCATAGAATGACTTGGGCTGGAAGGGACCTTTAAAAGTCTAGTCCAGCCCTTGAGATGAAGCCAAACAAACAGGCATGTCAGCAGGCATAGCCAACACTGCCAGCAATAAAAATGCTTGTGGTAGCAGAGAGGTTTCTGTCCCTGTCCCAGTGCAGCCCAGTAGGGAAGTACCTCTGCTGTGGCTCTTCACCCAGGGGAGTGTGCAGGGTGGACATGAGGGAGCTGAGAAGATTCTTCAACTGTCTGTGCTGAATATTTTGAGGGTATTGACATTTCACGTCAGCTGCATTCACCAGGGTTAATTAAAGCCTCTGTTTTATAGATTGCCCTTGGCCATAAACGGAAAAGCTGCCTCAATTGGAAATCAATAAAGTAATCTTTAAGTTCTTTTATTTTATTAGATATAGAGTCCTAGTTTGAATATATTGAGGAGCCATAATTAGTGGTGCCAGAGAGATCCTAAGATGTAAGTTTAAAGCTTCCTGAGGAGTGTGCTTTGTTGTAGGCAGTGTGCTAGAGGTGCCCAGCACAATCAGGGCGTGGCACTGAAGCCAGGGATGCTCTGCTAAGCTCCTAGGAGTGCTCTGGTACTGCAGAAGTCCAACAGCAATTCAATAGCCAGGGCTCTGTACTGATCCCTTGCCCCAAAAATTGAAGGGAAAGCTGTGAATGGCAGTGTTGTCACCACAGGGCACAGCAGGAAAGCCAGATCCTGGGGTCGGCAGTGGGCTGCTTGCAGCTGAGGAGTCCCAGAGATGCTCTGGGATGGCCTCCCTGTTCTGAGCTAGTGAGAGTGATGTGCTTTATGCCTCTCTCTACTATGCACCAGTGTGAGGTTAAATGGTTCACCCTTCTTCAGTGGGTCGGAGTCATTCCAAAACCACAAAAACCTTTGGGGATTTTGGAAGGGGAAGTATCCTGATGCTGCTGCTGCTTCCCCTTTCTCCTTATTCTTAACAAGAATGGAAGTTCATACGTTTCCATTTATGACAAGTTTTGTCATTGCAGGGGTTAAGAGGATCTCAGGTCTCCTTCATTTCTGCTCTCCACCAAACCCACCTGTTTTACTTCATATGCACTCACACAAGCCAGTTCCTTTGAGAGACGTTTCCCAGCCTTCTGATGAGAACTTGGTGCTCTGCCATGCCCCTTATCATGAAAAGCCTGAACACCTTCCCCAGTTTTGGTGGTTTTCACTTTTCCAGTACCAAAATCTGCAGAGAGCCTTGCTCTCTCCCCATCACTGACTGTAACGAGGATGAGTTTCCACTTGCCGCCTCCAGCATGCCTTCTGCAAGGTTTCATGGTGCCCCTGCCACCACTATGCCCAGATTATCTAATGTGTGCTCTTTAGGCTCATTGTAAAGAGTTCAGCTCACTCTGTGCTTTAGGAGTGCGGAGTAATGGACAACAGTTGCACTAGGTATGGGTAATGGATTGTGTTTCTGCAAAGACAAAAAGAATAGCCACTTAGTAAAGATAATAACTTTTAATAGGCAGTTAATTTTTTTTTTTCTTGACACACCATGGTAGTTCCTGAACAAATTTTGCACACACACACAAATATATATTTCACAATCTTTCTCTGCTTTTTTCTACTGTCCTTTCACTATGATGCAACATGCTCCAAAATATTCATTTTTAATCAACATGAAAATCAACCCACAATCATTGTTTTTATCGAAGAAAACTTCAGCAATCAGGAATCTGAATAGCTGCAGATGCCAACTAGCATATTTTAGACGGCCTGACCTTTCCAAAGTAGGTATCCAAGACTTCTCTGTTTCTGAGGAACCCAAGTGATCCGGGAATACCTGAATGAACCATGAAAGTTCAGCTGCAGCACGGAGGACACTTGCTTGTTCCCCATCTTTTACAGAGGTTCATCAAATGTTTCTCATGGTGCTGCTAAGACAGAGGATTATTAGACCTATCAAAGTGTAAGAGCAATGGTCAAGCACAGGGAAATGAATTAATAAATCTGCTCAATCTCTTACCATACTGGTAGGCAAATTTTAAAATTTCAGAGAATGGAATTGGAGAGAGAAGTTTCTCAAAAGCATTGTAGGTATCAAAACTTAGATCATCATCCTCAATCTTGGTCCTGCCCTTAGGCCACCAGTTGTCTTCTTTCCATTCCCCAATAAAACAGTGGAAGTTCTTGGAACACTAACAAGAATCGGGGAATTCAGACTGAGCAGATGCTCACAGTAATATAATTTTCAAACATTTATAGTTCTAGAAAAGTAGGATACATGCAGGTACAAGCACTACTTGATACTTTGAAATTGTCAGCTCTGTACAAATTAAGAGTGTCTGTAATTAGCACTTGAAACACTCCTTAAACTTCCAGAGTTATTCAATAACCTAAAGGAATCCCACACATTACTCAGAACACAAGGAAGAAGGTTCATCTGTAAAATTGCTTATCTTGCTGATTCCCACTGTGTGCCCCAGGCTATACAGAAGTCATATTTGTAGCACACGTAATGCAATTAGCCAAGGAACAGGTGAAAATAAACTATGTTGCCTGTTACATTACAAGGATCATATTCAGTAATTTACAGAACTTCAAAGAGCCTCAGTGCAAGGTATGTTCCCCTCTTACTAGAAAAAAGCACACACACTTCAGAATTCCACCTGGGCATCCCACCCTGTAAACATTTATGACAAGCAAAGCATGTGCTACAGTGAGGAGTCTCATGGAAATCACTGAATTAATTTTCATAGTGGCTATTTGCCCAGTACTGTTTCAAGGGTCAGGCCCTGCTTGTATTTTGCTACATACAATTAAAAAAACCTTGCTACTATAATTTCAACAAAGTATGCTGACATATTCCTCCCTGTATGTGCAGAAAACATTTTTAGTAAGTACTATGTAAACCACCTGATTTTTACATTCTCATCAACCTTGTTTCGCTGCTTTTACTATATGTGAAAATAATAAATACATATGATATACCAGTTATTAAGCCTTCAAAAAATTACATATTCCAGAAGGGACTTGAGAAGTCAAGAGTTGGTCATTAACACAAGTGTCCTGTCTGGTAAAAAGCTTCAGCTGGTCCACATTTCCCACAGAACTGCAATTTTGGTGGTATGTTCCTGCACGCTGTGATAAAACAGGCTGCTTCACATCTGAAATGACAACAGTATCTATGCATTATTATTCCAAGTAACACATTTAGGAACATAAGAGTAAGCTAAAATGGAAGGCATAAAATAAATCTAATCTGGGTAGGCAATAAGGATTAAATCCACTGTCCAGGCCATTGTCCTGCCCCCACACAAACAGAACCACCTCTGTGTTGTCAGTAATGTAGGCAAAATTTCATTCTGTTGCTCTAACTGAAGAAAAAAGGAGGTTATACAGATTTTTCATGAAAAAAAAAAGGAGCAAAAAACTTCTGGGTACCAAAATCTTTTTTTTTTTTTTTTTTTTTTTTTTCCCCCTCAGGTAACTACCTTTAAAAATCTCTTCCCACACAAACAGAAAGAAAATTCGCCCAGGGAATTACACCCAGGAAATGCTGAACGGTTCAAGTCACATGCTGTGCCTATAAAGGTCTATCTCTGTGAGGTGGCAGTTTCCCCCCCTACAGGCCTGGGTCTCTCTCTGGTCATGATGGTATGCTCAGGCTGAGCTTTGTTTAGGCTGTTTTTCCTTGAGGTTGCTGCCAGCTGAACTCATTGCTCCTTTTATGTTTCATTTTTAACCCTTTTGTTTAGTTACATGGCACATACCGAGACTAAAAAGTATTAGAGTGACTAACAAACACTAATATTACGGGATGTAAGACTAAGGTTACAAACTTACGTATTTATTACTGAGATGTGAAGAGTTGCCGAGTTTTATTCTTCCCCTGAGATGAGTTCTCTTCTAGAGAAACAGAAAATATATTTGTATTAGTTAAACATGTAAAGATAAAAGGTCCAGTGAGTCTGGCAAGAACACATCACTGACCACTAGACAGTCTCCTTGTCAGATTTACCTAATCAGTAAAAAATGTCCATGCAATAGATTTTTATCACTCTTTCTGTTTTATAGTTTATTTCCCCTACTACTACAAAGTATTTCCAAGACAGTTCTCAAGGGGTTTGAAGGGGAATAATACTTTAATTAATTTCTAACCATGATTAGAATATTAAATTATAAAAATAAGAAGATACAACTACAAAATTAATTTTTGCCGACAATGCTGACATCAGCTCAGTTCTTCCAAAGCAGGAAAATGAACCTTTATGAACTTCAGTCAGGGATTACACACAGTTCTCACTCCTCCTTCCCTGGAGAAGCAGAATCACTACCAGCAGTTGCAGGCAGACAAATAAGCCTCCAGATGACAATGCGTTTACAGATGTTTCCAAACATGTATCCCAGGAATGGCAGTGGAATCTTTTTTTGTCAGAGATTTGTACATGGACATGAACAGGGAATGGCATTCCCAGAGTTGACAGAGCCCCAGGGAAATAGGCATGAGGGTGGGAAAACCCAAATGCCTCCAGAAAACTGTCTTCTGCCTTTCTGCTCACATGCAGGAGACAATTTAATGCCTCTCACACACCCGATAGTCAAGAAAGTGATGTATTACATTCTAGGAGAAGTGAATATGTATTAAAAAGTTTTATGTGATCTATAGCCTGGTGTTGCAAATTGTAATACAAATTAGGATTCTAAAAAGTTAACTGATTAGATATTTAAATAATTAGTAGTCAAATTAAATAGTTGCACTCCTGAAGAAAATGGAGAAGACTCATAAATAGTTTTTGGACAACTTTTCTTCACAGCAAAAAGAAGAGGCTCTTTAATTTAGTGCAGCTTTTTGGAGATGAGTAGAACTTGGTATCTGTAGAAAACTGTTCAACAATAATGTGCTGGAATGATGTTCGCTTCCCAAGTGTTCAATTTTGGACAAAATTACTTTAAAAACTTTTTAAATTGTTGCGAAGTTGGAGGTTCAAAAGTTCTGATGATATTAAATTTCAAGTAGAGAAAAGAAAAGCACAAGTTTCTGCTGGAAAAGAAAAAGAAACTTTTTAACAAGTGGTAGGTGAAATGTTTTTGTTCGACAAAAATCTTATTTTGAAAAGGTAAAGTGAACAAGTTTAAATACTGTAAATTTATACCAACAAAAGAATGAGATTTTCAAGACATCTCACTTTTTTCGAATTTTAATTTTATTTATTTTTCCTTCTGCAATTTTTTACTTTCTTTGTTCAATATACAGAAATAGAAGACTTAATAGGGCACAAAAGGGACAAATTGACAAGACTGTTTAAAAAAGAAGGTATAGCAGAAATTCATTGAGAAATATGTTACCACGGAGAAGATAATATTCAATAGTGGTAAAAAATATCAGTACTTTGGGATCAGTTCCACTCTCAGGTGGTTGTTCTGCAGCCAGACTTACATGGAAAGTTGATGCTTTGCATCACAGGAAAACAGCATGTCCAAGGGGAGGCTCCAGATTCAACATAGCTCCCTGGATAACATCCCATTTATGCCAATAGACTTTGGATCAGAGGATGGATGGGTGAGGCAGTGCTGGCTGCAGAAGTCAGACTGCCTGAGTGGTAGCTGCTGACAGCAGTGGTCAGGCCAGGAGGGGTGAATCTGCCATCCTGCAGAACCTGAGGCTGCAGAACACAGACACACTCCCTGTCTGGATTTCCCGGTGCTATACACATTATCCCTGAAACAGCAAACTACCACAAACTATTGCCGGGGTTGATGTTCCCCTATAATAACAATGTCTGTCTGACAAGGGTTTGAAGCAGGCAGGGATGCTCTCATTTCTTTGCCACTGCACTTCCAGAAGGGCAGGAGCCTGCAAGACTTCTGAAACAAAACTGAGCTGTTGCCACTCCGTGGTTGCAAAGGTCTCTGAAGATATTTGCATCATGAGGTCTGTAATCATCAGTGCCAGCTAACAATTCAGTGATGAAGAGACAATGATTATATACTGGAGAGGAAGTGGTCACACAGATGCTCTCTGTTCAAGAGTAAAAAGGTAGTGCACAGGTTTAGATACAGCACTGCAGTGTGCCTTGAGACTGCACAGAGAGGTGTCCAGAACTACTTTGGACTTCAGTGGCTCAGTAGTTTGATTAGACACTAAATATCCAGTTGCAATTCAAAGGAAAAACCAAGAAGAACGTTGAGGTTGGCTGCAAGTGGGAAGACACGTTTATTGGTCTCAAAACAACCTTATAACTGACAGAAATAAATTTTAAGAATGAAGAAAACCAAACTAGCCCCCAAGCCATCACTCACCAAAATCAAACTTTGCTTCCCATAAGGGAAATGAAAACCAAATACTTGTGTTTAGTATTTTGTTAAAACAGACGGTATTTCAATAGAATGGAGAAATTATTTCACAGTGAATTGTTTGCTGATTAAGAAAATACATGGTGCAGTGGAGGTGCTCAACCAGTCTAGATAGATTACCTGAATCCCTTGAAAGCTGTCACAGAATCATAGAATTGTTAAGGTTGAAAAAGACCTTTAAGATCATCAAGTCTGACCATCAGCCCAGCAACACCACCATGTTCACTTTTAAACCATGTCCTCAAGTGCCATATCCACATATTTTTTGAACAGTTCCAAGAATTGCGACTCCACCACTGTCCTAGACAGCCAGGTTGCTCTTACAAAGCTAGTGTTGCACACTAGGAGATGGAAGATATCAAGGGAAACTTGAATCATCAGCTTCTCACTATACAGTTACTCAACATCTTGAATGAAGGTGTTGGTTGATCCAGTTGGAAAGGTTCTATGGCAATAATTTTTAAATAACAAGTTGAAAATTTATTGTGAATCTGTCTACTTTGATCAGTGAGTGAACTCCGAAAAATGGGAGACAAAGGAAACCGTACGACAGTATTTGGTGCAGTCAAAGTGCTGTGAACTGCACAGCTACAAGTGCAATGTGACCCCCTTTACCTGTGGTCCTGCCTTGTGGCACCTCTCCTGATGGAGGAGGAGTTGTGGGCTCAGATAGATTGGCAGAGGGCAGTGAGAAGCCAACCTCATATATATCACGTGCTTCTACAAAAACTGAAAGAAATGATTCACAGTTTGAGAAAGAGGCCTTAGGCAGAATATTTGGAACATGAAATCAGATTGATACTGACATGGAAGGTTTAGCTGTCAAATGAACTCTTCCATTAGACCCTTTATTTTCCCTCTCATTCTCCAGAGTTGCACCTGTTTGTTGATTTTTGTCTGAAATTGAATGGCAAACATGAAGACATAGGCACCATGAAGTCTCTAAGCACTACTGTTATAAAATGCTGAGAGATTTGCAGTTACACTGTCCAGCTTATTGCTGTGGGAGGCTGCAGATATCCCAGTGGACAAGACAAATCCATGGCATTAAAAGCTACTGAAAACTATGAAACACCAAAGACACAGCGTCTGATTCAGGACATCTCCAAGCCATTGGCTGCTGGAAGGCTATGGTGGAGAACCCATTATTGTACTCCTTTCCTATTTGTCATCCTTCCCTTCACATCTCATGATAGTCACTCTCGGCAACAGGATTTGGGGCTACACAGACCCAGGATCTGAGCAGGTACATCTGACTCAGATCACTGTGTCTCAGCTTCAATATTAAAGGAGACAGTGCTCAAGCAACAATACAGCACTGGCCTTTCATACACACAGCCTTCCACATGTCACCCCTCAAACACGTGAGCTGCAGCCTTGCCCCCAATTCACCCCAGTGGATCAGCAGCCCAGGCACTAGGCCCAATCCAACACACACTGCATACATCCTCCTCTAAAATGCAGTCATGTTTTAGAAGGATAAAGATAGGAAAGATGTAAGAGGAAAATTTTGTATTCATAACTCCTCATCCTTCGGTGCATTTGTTTCAAGTGCAAGGAAAGTAGACGGAGTGCACAGGTCCTGAGAGCTCTGCAAAGTTAAATGATAACCAGGAAAGAAATAGTACTGCAGTGAAAATGCAGGGTTTTCTTCCTAATTAAAATTTCACTTGTGTAGTATTTGTTTCAATTTTCCACTCACAAATATACTCATTTCCAACTATTATGATGCCAGTGTATGTGAATAAGTAATGGGCACAATGAGCTGAAATTACACATTGTATAAAGTTAATTTTGAAGCTCTGAAACAAACATTTCTTTGCCTCACCGTTGTGGAAGGCTATTGTATTACTCTCACTGTAATTTGTCTGCTGTCCCCCTCCCCCATTTGATTCAGGATCTGAATATATTACTCAGAATACACATACACAGCAGAACATCATGACAAAAAAGAGAGTACAAAATGAGTGCTATGAGTACAGAAAGTCTTTGACCTGGGCAAAGCCCTCTGACATTATTGGGAAAGCTGGAAGAAAAAGGATAGAAAACCAGCCTTTGACATAAAAAATAGGTTGTACTGCATTTCAGATTACATTGTAAGAAAAAATTAGTTTTGCTGCTATTTCATTGTAATATCCGCTGCTGAGAAATTGCTCATAAGTGGCAATCAGGCTCAGAGCAAAGAATTAAAGTGAACTTTTCATAAAATCTGATTGCGGAAACCTATCTTCTTATAATATTATAAAACTACCTCTGACAGAGGAATCAGAATGTCTATTTTTCACCATGCTGAACTAAAAGAAAGAGAGGTGCATTACAGATGCTGCAGAACATCCTTAAGTGGGAACCAGCACCTGGGTGCAGTGGCTGGGTTTGTTGTGGGCCAGTGGGTCCAGCTCCTGTAGCGTGCTGCAGCACTGCCCTGCACCACACTTCCCCCACAGCCCTGCAAACTGCTCCTCACCACTGTCAGCAGGACAGGAGGATCTGTACAGTTCACCAGGGCAGAGAGGGAGTGTGCAGAGATGTCCAGGTGAGGGACAGGAAGGCAATTGCTGCTCAGTGGGCAGCAAAAGGCATGAGGTGGCTCCCTCACAAGGTGCACCTCAGAAAACTGCAGGCTGGAACGTTAGCAAATGCTTCACAGATGGAAACATCACTTGACCCTCAGCAGTGTGACTGTAAGAGACTCCTTTAAAACCCCCTGAAAATAATGCACCATTTATGAACCAAATTAGAAATAGAGAAGGAAGTGTGTGCTATTTAATGCCTTTGACTACAATTTTGTTCAAAAGTGTCAGCTGAAAGTGAGTGCAGTCAGATCTTTGTGGTGCGAGTAAACACAGAGTCCAACCACAAGCTGCAAAAGCTGAGAAATTTTATTCTTCAGTTTCTTTGAAGACAGAAAACACAACTTCAGGGTATCATACAATAGAAGATTAAAAAAATAGAGTGTCAGAAAACAAGAAAGAGAAGGAAAGAGAGGGAAAGAGAAGGAGGTGCTTGGTCTCTCTCTCTGTTGCAAGAGGACCATTTCCTATGAAGCAACTTCCAGGATTCCTACCTGCAGAGAAAAAAAAGTAAGGCACTGAAGCTACATCTCATTATAGAAGAAACAAATTATCAATATCATATCCTCATATTAGTAGAAACAGCTGCTCTTACCGCTCCTAAGCACACAACATGCCAGGAAACTGCTCTTTGCTCACCTATGTTTCTCATCTTGCAAGTGAGAAGAGGGAAGGGAATTTTTGATGACAGAGTGCCTCACCTGAGAACTCAGTTTCTTCAACTACTCCTACAGGCACCCACCTGGATCCTAGACACAACGGGAAAGAGATGAAAGTCTCAATGCATGTTGAGAAACCTTATGGCTCACTATAGAACCATGCCCCCTGGCAGGGGTAAATTTCCCTGGGTTGGGCCCTTAATGAGGTAAAATTCAAAGATTTCTTACCTCCTTGAATGCCATGGTCCATGCTCCAATGTACTCAGCATAGCAGGAACCAGCTCCTGATTTGTCCCGTTATACCAAAACTACATCTGTGGTTTGATGTGTGAGGCAGAACAGTTAAAAAGTCTCAGCATTTGGAGGTTCATTGAAAGTGGGGACACAGATGCTGTCATTCAACCACACTCTTTCAGAAGACCACAGGATTTTCCATGTCCAAAGCCTTGTACCACACTGGGTTGTCTTGAGGGATGCTGAATGTTGTTTGCATTCCAGCAACCAAGGCAAGATTTTTTGCTGACAGAGAGCAAGGGTTTCTTCATTGTTCTGGGATGATGGTGGTGCTTGGTTACTACGTATAAGAGTCACCAGCCTCTGATGTGGAAGGTTAGGAATTCTCGAAGCCTTTACAAAGAAGACTTTGGAAAAGCAGGAATTCCAGAGGAATGATACAGGCAAAAACTATGGTCATCTCAAATAGGCTGAAGTTGTAGGGTGTGATGAATCTATACCATGAAATCCAACATATCTTCAAGGTAGTCAGCTCATCTTGTGCAAGGGATGAACCCAAGATATGTTACAAAAATCAGGGAGGAGGCAGAGCCAATTGAAGTAGCAGATAACAGCTGTAAGGTCATTACTACTGTTGAACAACAGTAGCTTTTGGAAGAGATGTGGAGCATATGGGGAATGCAAGTTCTTCATCCTCAGTGTGTGCTATTTTGTACTGCACTGCCGCCTGAGAACACCTCTAGGTATTAACTGATCCCTTTCTCCAGTGTGATTACAACAAGTTAAAGGTGTTTTTCATGTGACAGGTTAGGTGTCTCCTTAAATATCCATGTTTTCCTGGTACATTTTCCCAGCTGTGTTTAGTAGCAACACTTGAATTTTCATTTTTGTCCACAGTGAGTATCGTGGGAAGCCATAATGCAGACATATAGCATGGACCATTTTCCAGCCACCTTCCATTCCACGTGCCTCACCAAAATCTGAGCCACATCAGCTTTGACACCATGAATATCCTTTCAGGAAATTCAGTGTATAACAGGCCCCCGCAGGTCGAATAAGTCATATACTACCCTATCATCTCAAAAGAGCTCACGCTGGTTAGAAATCATGCCCTAATGAATCAGCTTATGCTTAGGTGCCGGGGTTATAACCAACAACGCTGAAATGTTATGTCACCTGCACATTCCTGTGGACTTTATATTGAATATTGAACTGGTGTGCTGCTGTTATGTACCTTTTACCTTCTCTAGAATGGGTACTCCGGGCAAGGGCCATAAAAGAAAATTGTCAAGTCGTTACTCAAGTATCAATATTTCTATCACACCTCGTTCATCTGTATGGAGTAGCCTTACCCCAATCTCTATTCATCAGCCTTTCCATACCTGAGGAATTTCCATGCCTCAACATTCTTCATTAGTCCAAAAAAGGTGATCAATACCTTTACTGCTTTTTCAGTGTAACACACAAGAACCCTGACAGAAAAAAGTTAGGTCTGTTTTCAAGACAGCCAATACTTTATTACCATGGATGATGGTATTGATCCCTTAGTCATCAATTAAAACCTTTCATCTTATTTTCTCAGGAAATGTATCTCTCACTGAAAAGCCAAATGTGCAGTTCTGTGGGCTATGTTGAACCTCAAATAAGAAATATTTTTGTAGGTAGATTTTCTACAACTCTGTATTGTAGAAGACCATTTATTCTCCCTAGGGAGGATCACTCTAAATTTACCTGTACGGTCAACATGAAATGGCTGCCATAAGTCCTGCATTTGTACATCAGTGTAAAACTTTTGAGATGATTCAGTATCCTGAGCCTTTTTAACCAAGTAGAGTTTTCAAGTGAGATGCAACTACAGGCACTTATCTTGCACCAGGTGTTGCAGTTCACTGACAAATGTACATGAAAAATTCAAGATGTTTAGTTTTTGTTTTTTTTTTTTTAAATCATTATTTTTACTTTACATAAATTCTCAACCAGTTGTGCCTTAGAGGTCAAAGCACCAGTAATTCCATCTTTCTGAGAAGAGTTTTAAAAAGTAAGAATATTAAAGCTCCATTTTACCTAGTGTTCCCAATGATACTACTCCATTAAAAAACATTACTTTTTAGTCCAGGCTTAATTGACAACTATTGTTTTCTTGTATTCTTTCACATTAATTGTAGGTATTTGAAATAATATTCTTGATTAAATTTAATTAGGCTATGCTTCTGAAAAAGGACTTCTTTCTATTTCTTTCATTTTATATTCAGAACTTAATTTTAGAAGTCCTAAAATAGGATCCTTCAGTAGTCAATGGACTGCCATAGGTCAGCTCATTCCAGCTCAAGATACATGTCCAAGACAGACAGGATAAATAGCCCTCTGGACACATACATTTCTTTCAACTATGTGCAGCTGGTGTAGTTTTTAGATAGATAAAATAAGGCTAGATTAAACTCACCATAATCCTTTATCAAGGTATGTCATGCGCAGCACTGAAAACAAATTTTTCTAGGTTGCCTGCTTGAACAATTTGTAGGTCATATCCTTATTTGTTCTGTATATACGGGGTTCTTTACACTTTTTAAATACAATTATATAATCTCAAAACCTTCTGTTTGGAATAAAAAGTAAAAACTAAAAAAATATAATGCATAATTATAATAGACCTTAACTTGAATACATGTCAAAGCAGAACTTCATTGTATATATGCTTGAGCTTAGGCACCTGAGCAGCCTATTGATAGTGAGAGGATTATGTAGATATACCTGTAAAGTTAAGGCTGCTCTAAAGAACTTCCTAGCCTTAGTCTTTTGAGTCACAACTTTTTGTAGTTTTGTTGGTATGTACAGTCAGAGGCGGCCACAACACTCACTCTGTAAACAGCTGGAGGAAAGAAAAAGAAGAACCCACGCAAAGAAGTTTTATGCAGTGCAGTTGTTGTCAGTAGTTGTAAGAAGGACCACAGGGCAGACAGTTCTCTTGTCTGTCTGTACCATAAGAAACACTTGCCTTTATGCCCAAGCTTTTAAGGAAGAAAGTAAATCTGATTCAAATGGGCAGGCACCCTAACAGCTTTGAAAATACCTTGCATGAGTGACAAATATTTCTGCAAGAAACAGGTCCTTCTGTCAGAGTGCTTTTAATTTAAGATGCAATGTGACTCTAAAAACCTGGGCAAAACCAGGATTTCACTTTCTGTGAAAGCATGTTTAATTTTGAAACATATAACGATGTAAGAATTCAAGAGAAAATGGCAGCTAGTTTAAATATGAATTGTATTAATGAGGAGAGGGCAAGAATCTTGTCTTCTAAGTGGTTATGACTCATACCTTCTAATTATAGCATGTACACATCCTACTTCAATAAAAAAGAATGTCAAGCATACTTTGGATGAAAGATATTCAGAGACTTGGTGAGCCAGTGGCTGATTAACAGGCACCAGAGCTCATCTTGTGAGGAAAAGAAAAAAAAACAAGAAAAAGAACCTGCAACTTTTCTTATTTATTCTGCTGTAAAACACAAACAATTCTGCTGCTGACAATGGAGTTATTTTATTGTTGAAATGGCATGAGGACAGAATCAATCAAAAGATGTCTATGAATTAGTTTCTGACTTCATTCAGATTTAAAAAAAAAAAAAAAATTTAGGCAAGTGTATACACAACACCATACTCAAAATAAAGCTAGAAGTCCATTTCCAAAGACAAATACTGAGAAGAAAAACCTAAACCAAGGTAAAAAATTTCCCAAATCACAAAGCTCTGAAATGCAGTCACTTAAGTGCCAAAGTGTATTTTGCAGTTGCTCAGCTTACACGGGATGCAAAGGAGAGAGCAGCTATTGGTCAACCTCGGAAATGGCAGTAGGAGAAACACATGGCCAAAACCCTTAAAAACAAAAAAGAGTTTTATACTTAAAAAGTAGAAAGTATGAGACTGTCTTTCTGGAAGGACTTCTGCAGATGAGGTGGGACCTACACGGCTGAGGAAGCATTGGGTAAAGCTGGGCAGTTTCACCATCACTAGCTCTACTAGCTCAGTTTTAAGGGTTTTGATTTTATTTAGTTGTTGAATATCTGTGAATCAGATTACTTAGAATTTTGTTCTGCCTCAGTCTTATTTTGTGCTACTCCATTCCTTGTAGAACCTATAACTGCATCCGTGTCTTTGCTTTGAGATTTTGCTTTCTTTTGTGCATATTATCACAAATGTCTCTTCCTTTAGGCTTTATTACCACATATTTTATAAAAAAACTGAAGAAAAGGACAGAGGAATTTGCAATGAGTGTAGGATCTTTAATACAAAGGGTGGCTGAGCACAGGGCTGACTGAGTAGAGGTTGCTTAACCCAACTCCAGCAGTCTTGTTTACATACAGCACTGACTCCCAAACCTTTTGATCCTTGGGATATTACCAGTCGTCAGACTTCCTTGTACAGCCAGATCTAGCTGATAAATACCTTGATCACCGTTACTCCCGAACAAGCCTTGTTGTAGATCATGTACCATCAATGATTTAAAAAAAATATTTTCCCTAAACCAGTCGTACTTTTCACTCCCAAATACCAACAGCACAGACTGTGCAGCTAAACTGCAGCTCTACAGGATCTCAGTCTAGGGGTTTGCACTGTAGCAGAATTGTTTGCAGTGACTTTGACCTGACAGGAACTGAAGAGGGTTTTGCTGTTAGAAATGACATCCCAGAAACTGCTCTTCTCTGAACTCAGAGAGGGAGACAGATATACACAGAGAGGAAATGCTCACCAGTCTCAGGAGAAGTTGTCTTCACAGAAAGAAGTTTGACTCCATCTTTGTCTGATTGGGCCCTGTTGAAGTGAGAAAATATTTAATCAGACAGACAGTATGCATGTTGTTCAGCCAAACAAAGCTCTATGATCTGGAGAGGGCAACAGCTATGCCAGTCTACACTGGCAGGCTTGAAATGGGCTTTGAATGGGATCATGAGCAAGTCTTAGTGGTGGAAAAGACCACATACCAACATATCTGATAGAACCTTTTTCTTAAAATATGTAATAAATTAAGTTTCATGATTCCAGGCCTAATCTGGTGCTTCACAGAAGAAGTACACCTGGGAGAAAAGAGGGAGTAATCTTTTTTTTCTGTCGATATAAAGCTTTTAGCCATTTTGAATTGCAAAGAAAACAGTGACAAGAGAAAAAACATTAACAAAAGAAGGGGAACAGGAAAGGATGGGAGGAGAGAAAAATCAATGGGACAAAAAATTGACAATTGGGCCAGTGAGTCCTGTGACACAGAATAAGCTGCTTATCCACTCCAAAAGGATTCCCTGCAAATCAGCTGAGAATCATCACATTTCTATCCATGCTGGAACAGCTGCTTATAATGAATACAGGTGTACAATAACTGCAAGCACAACACTTCCAGCAGGATATTTCCCCTTGTCGTGGTAAGTGCTTATTATGCTTAAACAGAGAAAGATCAAAGAAAATCCTATCTAGAATCTGCTGCTTTTACAAGTGCCCTGTGATAGATCTCAAAGCAATGAAAAGGAGTCAACCTACTGTTCAGCGCCATTCTCTTGTCTCTCTGGAAGAAGAAACAAAGGCAATATCATTCTGACTGCTGAAACTCACTTAAGTAAACATTTAGACATAGCTATTGTGGTTTCTGGCAGACAGCTTAGTTGTAATTTTGCAGTATTGCATTAAGTACATTAACACAATCAACCAGCTTGAATGGTAGTTGTTATTTTTCTAGTCGTCTGTGAAAGTGAACTGATACTGCTAATACTGATGCTTCTGGAAACCAGGGAGAGTGATATGTGACTTGTCCAAGAGCACAACAGAAGCACATTTTTCCCTGCAGATCCCAAATCCCTGGGTAGCTGGCACAGAGGAGAGGTGAGCATGCAATGGTTCTTGACTACATAACAACTGAGCTAAAAGATACAGGATGAGGGGACTGAGGGAACAGGCTGCCAGGCTGTACACCCTGGGTGTTTAACCTGTCATGACATCTGAGAGCAGAACCTGTCATCCCCATCGATGAGGAACAGGTTTCTCCCCAAAATGAATCATATACTGAATGTATTTTATGCTTATGTGCAAGTGTGGGCAGATGGATTGGGTCAGCGGGTTACGTCAGGGACGTGGAGCCAACTCTAGCTCCATGGCACTAAGTACAGGGGTTTTCATCCAGAGGGGAAGCACACTGGATAAGTCTGGGCAAATCCTACAGGAAGCACCACAGTTATCTACTCCATCTTCCTAGTGAATTTGCTGTTACAGTGCCTGATGGCATTTGTGCATAGGGCAGGCTGGCGAGGAAATGTTCTCCATCTCATATCTTTATCTCTTGACTCAGAATATTTAATAGTTTCCTAAGCAAGGATCATACTTTCCTTTGTTTATCTGGGTCTGTTCTTCCATGTCATTGGCTAAATTGGTTGTGACACACTGTTTGCCTTGGTTTACAGCTTCAACACCCTGTTGTGATTTTGTATTTCCAAGGCCCAGTGATTTCACAGCTGAAGCTCTGCACAGGTCTCCTAACTCATGCCAGCTCACAGGGACAGAAAAACCACAGCCTGGATTCTGCATTTTCACTTAATGAAGAATCACACTTGCCTGTAGCCCACTTGGGCAACTCTGAAATATTTGGCAAATGGAACTTGATGGAACTATACCCCATTATCTAAAGTATTTAATGAATAGATGTGAAGCAGATACTGACTTTAGCTGCTCTGTCAAAATGACTGCTTCTGAAAATACTGTGTGCTCAGGGATTTTGTTCCCATGTACATTACACTGTAACTGGGAAATTTTTGGCATGTGTAATGTGTGTGCCTATCTGTGTCTCTGCGTGTATCAGGTATATACCAAAAGAAAGCTCTGATATTTCTTTGCCTGTATCTAGAACAGAGATAAAAAAAATATAGTGATTTTCTTAAACAATATTTTCAAACTTGGTTTTCAGTGCCTATTTCTACCTGATTGACTGATTGTGTTAGCATAGGTGTTTGCTAGTTCCTGGTAGCTGCAAAAATGTGAACAAAAAACTTTGCAGCATTATATTATTATATTCTCTAAAAATCAGAGACATTTTTGCTCACCCTGTTCTTCCGACTGATTTTGAAAATGAAGTGTTAGTTTTCCACTTTAGGCAAAACACTTCAAAATACAAGAAGCTTTCCCACCTGAGTATCTCAACAGCTATGGTTAAGGTAATGTAAAAGAGATCTTTTAACAATAAAAAGCACATTGATTGCTCCCCCCATCCTCCTCCCCCCACCCTCATGCAGAGAAAACAAAACAAATACCTGGAGTTTTCTTCTGGCACATTTTGTACAAAGCCACCAGTGAGAAGACAGAGAGGGTAATGACTATCAGGGTGATGACAATTGGCAAGATAATACCTGCAAAGGAGGGAGAACATATTTTTGGCTGCTGCCGCTGGCTTGTGTTGCCTCTGTGTGCAGGCTCTTGCACACACAAAGGTGAGAGGCACCTCCATCTCCACTTCACCAAACCTTATCAATTTCTCAGCAGCAAGGTAGCCTGCTGCTCCTGTTATCTTTCCAGCATCCACCGAGCCTCAGGCTTGGCAGCTTTGTGCAGGAAGGTTTTAGGCACCTTCTCCCACCCTTACTTCTTCCCTGACACTTGCGTTGCCCTGTGGAACTGGTTTCACCCATTTTCCAGTAGGAGAGCGAAGTTTCAGTACCTGCTCCACTGGGACTACCATAACCTTGATCAAAATATTCATGATTCACCGCCACTGCTGATGGTCCCCAAAGGTTTTGTGAGACAGTCATGTGTCAGAAATAAATTTTTCATATGTGCAATTTATTTTTTCCTTTTTTTTTTTTTGTTTTTGAAAACCAGAATTGTCTGAAATTCAGACACAGAAGTAATTATTTTGCTTTCAACATTGTACACCCAGAAAGACAGTAAGAAGTTACATAATTCAGTAACATTCCCCACAGCACTTACAACCAGGGACAGAAAACGCAAGATCTCCTTTTAAAATGAGGACATTTCTTTCCTCTTATTATTTCCCACCATCTGCCATTTCCTGACAGGTGTTTCCCAGCCAAGAAGCGAAAACGGAAGAATTATGTAATGAAGAGAAGCTTTCCCGGGGAAATATATAAGCCCAGCTTCTCCCCATTTATCTTTTTTTTCTGGCAGCCACCAGCCACATTCAAATTTAGCAGGTGCTCTCCCGCCTGCTGGCCTAAGCCCTGTGTTGGGGGGAGGCTGCAATCCACAGCCTTCCACAGCATCAGCCATCATGCTGCCTGAGGTTTAGAGAGGGCATCTTGCATGTCTCCAGATGCAATTAGTATTTAATATTAATATAGGGGTGTGTGTGTGTGAATCTGTGAAACTAGAGAGAGAGACAGGTTTACAGTGGACAAACATCAAAAGTGTTCTCCTAAGCCAATACCCCGGGGTAGGAAATAGCAGGTCTGCAGCAACACCCTTGCCCCAGAGATGCATAATATTAAAATAAAATATTAAGTAACATGCATCGTGAAAATATCAAGTGCCTAAAGAGTCTGCAGAAGACTGCCACGTAGACCTTCTCTCCTTCTCTCCCATGACAATATGAAAAGTGTATTCATATAATACATTCATACCAATACATTCATATAATATGTACAACATGTACATGTACAACTTTTCATATGTTTCCTTATGTTTTATCTC